ATTGGGTAAAAATATTATTTGGACTTAATTGAAATTGATTTTGGGAAAAAGAGGTGAAAATTTGGATTCTATGAGTGTTTTTGAAAAGAAAATCGGAAACCGGAGGTCAAAACGCAATTTAGAAAAGTTGTGCCACGTCAGCACCACGTCAACAGCCACGTCAGCGACCCGGTCAGCAGCCCCAGCCAACCAGAACATGCCGCGTGGCAAGGCAACGCTGACCAGGGAACGGGCCACGTGGGCGATCCGCGTGCGCGCGATTAGACGGCCCAGATCCGTTCCCGCGCACACGGACGGCCCAGATCAAACGTGCGCACGGACGACCCAGATTCAATCGGGCACGGACGGTCCAGATTGCATCGCGATGAACGGCCCAGATTTAATCCCAATTAAATCGCGATCAGACAGTCCAGATTCAATCTTGATGGACGGTCAAGATTAAAAGGCAAAGGGTATAAATACCCCCACCCACACCTGACCAAAGAAACCCTAGCCGCTAGTGCTCACCGGGGAAGAAGAACCAAACGCCGGAAGAGCCGGCCGCCGCCACCCGCCGCCGCACCGGGGAAGTTTCAAACCGCCGATCGAGGTAATTTTTCTCCCCCTTGCTCGTTTTTCGACGCTGAGTCCACCTATGGTCAAACCGGAGCCAAACCACCGGCCAAACGGCCGAAAAACCCAACCGAAACCCAGCGGCGCCGCTGCATCCCTCCTCGATTTTTGCCTCCGATGAGGCCTTTCCCGGCCTCCGATTAATGCAAATTTTATACCACTGTGATCACCGTTCTTCTCTCTACAGGTTGATCGGAGTCAAACATCAAAACGCGACTCACGCCGGAGGAGCCACAGCACCCGAGAGCATCACCGCCGGTAAGTTTCGGTTTTTCGTGATTTTTCGGCCCACCGAGGGCCCTAGGGTTGTTCTATCGCGGGGACTGATGCAAGCATGGCCGAATTCGGCCGAAAATGGCCAACCCGAGGCGAATCGCTGCCGCTTGCGGCGACGCCGTCGCCGGAGCACGGCGGAGCCGCCGTGCCAGAATTGCGATATTAGCTGAAAGGGGCCCTAGGTCTAATTTTGGATTTTTTGGGACACGTGCAGGTAGCAGTAGTGCGTTTCAGTTCCTCGGAAAAAATTCAGGAAAAATTAGGGACAGCCTGTAGGCGCACTGTAGAGCCATATTTAGACCCCGAAACAAGTAAGGACCCCTCACCCTATTTTCTATCACGATATTAAAGTTCAATAAATGATAAAACGGTATTTCATGAATCAATAGATGTGTGAAATTGTTTAAGGTCGCTAATGGAGCCCGAGTCTGGTGTATTTATCGGTCAGTTGTTGTTTGTTCTATTTTACAGTTTTAAATGCAGTATGATGTCTGATATTTTCATTTCATAGTTTTGTGTGCATATATCACTGTTTTATTGACTATGGATTGAATGATTGAGAACCCGATGTTGTGTGTTGTCTTGTTTGGCATAAACTACTAGTTTGCATGTTTGTGTGTGATTTGATGATAGTGACTGAGGAAAAAGGGAATAAAATGTTACGTGAATTGATAAATGGATAATGTGGACAGCCTGACTAGATATCCTGGGAGATGGTGGACGGACCGGGTCCGTAGGGAACCCTACCGAGAACGTGGTCTCTCATACCGGACGGGGTATGGGGACGGCCCGTTTCTCCCTCATACCGGACGGGGTATTGAGGTTCATGATTTTGGTGCCCATACCGGACGAGGTATGGGGACGGCTCTAGAATCAGATTATAAATGTTAAGGGTTCACGGGTAACGAGACCCCTATGGATCCCCATGGATACTAGTAGGCTGGTAAATGAGGAAAATGTATTGTCTAATGATTGAGATGCAAAGGCGTAGTAAGTATTCTGTTATACAGTTCATATGATTTCATGATGATGATAATGTTATTATTTTCATAAGTTGTTTTCATGAATCTCACCGAGGTAAGTGGACAGTAAAGGTTTTTATGTTAATAAATGAGTTTATCATAAGTTATGCTCCATTGGTCTTTTTGTGTTTTCTACCCACCTTTACTTCCGTGACGGTGAGATAGTGTGATGTCTTTACTGGGCTGGTGTAGCTCATTCCTTATTTAACCATTTCAGATCAGGAAGACATTGTTCCCGAGCCCGTTCCGCAGGAAGACGGCGAAGGGGACGCCTAAAGACTCCGTAGTTATATTTATAGTTCTTATTTTCGAGTATCTCTTTTAGTTAGTTTGTTCTTTTATATTTTGAGTACGTTTTTTATTTTAGTGTAAGGGATGTTAATCAAAATTTTTATTACGCTTCTGCATTTGACATTTTTAATACACATATTTCATTCTAAATTTTCGGGGCCGTTACATATCAAGTTAATGTAATTTAAATAAGTATACTTTGATCATTATCCTATGAGACAAAGTATTGTCCGTAACATATCTATTTATCTTTAGTTTAATAATTGAATTATCGCAGTTGCTTTTGTTCTACAAAATTTAACATTATTCCTACATCAAATTTTGTCATCCCAAATTATGTTACAATGATTTAAAAACTCAAAATAACTCTTTTTAATGTTCTAAAATTAATTAATTATAATTTAATTTCTAAGATTCACAAACAATAGTTCTTATCACATAAGAACTACTAACTAACTTAGTATAATAATTTAAATAGTTTGATAAATCTCATATAATTGAGATGCCTTAAATCCTGTTTAGAATATTTAGAAATAATAATTTGATTTATGTACTATTTTAAAATATTCAAATTAGTTATTATATTTTTATTTAGTTTCTGTACTTTTAAAATTTATTAAAAGGAGTTTGAGTTTTTTTTTTTGTAACTATAATATTTATCACTAAAGAATCATAAGCTAAATAAAATTTTAAATGAAATAATAGTCGATCTTTCAATTAACCCTAGCAAGTAACCCTAATGAAATTAAGTTTCTTACAATGAAATTAGATTTCAATTAAATCCTATTTCATATAAATTTTTTTCTTTTTAACTCATACCAACTATTCAAATAAGTTTTGTGTTTCTAGTGTAATTAAAATATTTAATCCTCATTAGAATAACAAAACCTTTATGAATTTCATACAGTATGAAAAACCTGTTATTATCTACTTAATTTTATTAAACAAAGTACATAATTAGCTATGGTTCAAAAGAGTTTATTGTGATCTTCCAATGTATACAAACAACATTAACCAATGTTTAGTGAGCTTCCGATATTGTACGCCAAATTAAAGTTAGACTCCCAAGAACGAAATAAAACTAATATTTGGTCGTAATTACTATTAGATTTTTATAAAAAAAAAATCTGGTGAAATATAGTAGAATAGAATTATCATCATAAAAATTTTGTTTAATTTTATCTTTTATTAGAAGTTATTTATATTGAACATAAAAGGTAGAGACATGTATAACCAAATCTACTTTTTCGGAAAATAAAAGTAAATCTATGCATATTTTGTATCACATATAACATAAAGAAACATAATGTATCAAATAGATAATATATGATTTCATAACAACCATACAATTTGATTTCTACAATATTTAAATTATGCTATATCTCATATGCACCATATAATAAATCAAGTAACTTATAGAATTTATATTTAAATATCCTAACTTGTATTTCATAACTAATCCATGATATTAATCATATCTTATGCAATTAAATTTTACTTTTTGGACTATTCACATACAATCAAAATTTAAGTTAGAAAAAATATGAATCACACAAATTGTTTATACAGAAAAATCCTACCTGACTAAGATAATTAATTAATTATAGAGTTAATTGTATGACTATTATTAATATACTAAATTAAGGCTTAAATGTTGGAGAAAACAAGATCATTAATCATGCAATCAATACAATAAATACACTATTCTAACAATAAAATTAATTGAGATAATACAATCAATAAAATAAAGCTAATTTTGTTCATGAACCTAACCAGACCTAAATGGCTAAATGTGGTAACATCAGCCACCTCCACCAACCAACTTTATGTAGCACGGGGATTTATATAGATAAAATTGCAGAGGTGGAAGGTGAGCCGTGCAAGCCAATCACACAGTAGCACCTCTCATTAAGAAAATGCCACTCGCTGTTTCATCTCTCACTAACTTAACCTTATACGAATAAGCCCAGCCACCAAACGTCTACCAGCACTTCATCTCTTTTCCTCTTTCATCAGAACTACCATTTTCAACTGCCGGCCATCCTTGAGACCCACACCACGCGACCTTCGCCGCAGCCAATCCCAGCGTCTGGACGTAAGTCGCTATTCGCTACTTCTGCAACTCTCTCGCCTCTCATTGTCGCAGGTTCACATGCATGATTTTCTGGTTTTGTATTTTAATTGAGTTCTTGATTAATGCCTCTTTGATTTTGCTTGCTCCATTGATACTCGCTTGTCGATTTGCTTTTGCTGTTTTTTTTAGTTGACTTCGTCGGATTTAGTTGATGTCTTGTCTGCTCCGGTTTTTTGAAATCTAGTGATGTTTATTTGTGGCTGATTTTCTCCGTGATCGATCTGTTTGATTTCCTTTTTACTGATGGTCTGAGGACGAGGAAGGATTGGCTTGCTGGTATCGTTTGTTTGTTTGTTGAACTTTGTGTTGTATTTTGACAGCTGTTGGAAGCAAGAGATATTTGCTGGTTCTGTTGTTGAAATGGAGGTATCTCTGATTTCCTTCAGGGTCTTGGTCTAGCTGATTGGACTGAGGTTTATGGGAATTTCTATGATATATCCGTGACTGTTCTAGGCAGGAATTGGGATGCTATGGGACGTGATCAGTTGTCTCTTCTGTGTCCTTTGATTGGTTATGCTTTGGTTCCTTCACATTGTTCTCTTGTTAATCGTTCGTCAGCTGGATGTCTTTTGTTCGCTTCTCTTTCTCCGTAATACTCAATTTTCTATATATTTATATATATATAAAAGAAAAAAATGTATCGGCTGCTTATTTTGGCTCTCAGAAATTTTGATTCATAATGCTGGTTCCAGGAAATTACTGATTATGATTCGGAATAGAGCTATGTTTCCAAATCCCAAGTGAAGTTTTATGAGGTATTCATTTGTAAATGAATTCTTATGCTTCAAATTAATTATGAACTGGAATTCAATGCGGTTTCAGCACTGCATTTCTGACTTAGTGAACTTTAGTAAGTGAATTTCAAAGGAATGAGAATGAGTTGTATGGAATGGGATATCAGATTTTGTATGTTAGTACCGAGCAGTTGGTTTAAATGTGGCTCTTTATATTTCTTGGAATTGAGCCTTTCTAAGATTCCATGCTACTTCATCAGAGATCTTATATTCTTATTTACAAATGGTAATTGGCTTTTTAGAGGTCTTATATTCTTGTTTACCGATGGTAATTGTTTTTCTTTTTTTTTTAATTGAGCTAGATTTATTATGTTGAAGTTGTTAGGGTAGATTTAGTGGGCTGACAATAAACTCTGAGGTCATTGTTTTTAAATTATAAACATGGAGATGTAGTATAATTGTTTACAGATGGTAATTGTGTCTTATATTCTTGTTTATGGATGATTATTTCTTATTCCACTTATTATTTTTTGGGTTATGCAGAAGGAAAGGAACACGAGAGCATTTGAGGACATTGAGACTAACTTTACATATGTTAGAAATAGATGGATATATACTTTTAGATCTATTTTGTTAGATCATGACATCAATGATTGGGAGGATCTTGGAATGGTCATGAACCATTTAATTGACTTGTAACTAGTTGGTGTACTTGGGTGATACGCCCTTGGTATCTTTGTAAATAATATTTCTTCTCTTATTTTTTTTAAAAAAGATGATTATATTTTTTGAATTGGGCTAGATTTATTATGTCGAAGTTGTTCGGGTAGATTTAGTGGGCTGACAATTAAGCTCCGATGAGGTCATTGTTTTTGAAATATATGGAAATTTAATGGGTAGATTTAGTGGTCATTGATTTCTTCTTTTGATGTCTAAAAGGTGGCTGCATTCATGATTTTTGTTGTTTGCTAGAAATTTAGTATTATGGTTTGTCAAGTTGAGTTTTCATTAATGAGAGTGTCTTTCATCAAAAGAATAAATATTTGTAGTTTCTCCTGTTGAACCACCAGATTAAATAGAAAAGAATAAATATCAGCCACAATGACATGTTGAACAATCTGCGAAGTTGTATTTGATTTCATGTTTATGTGGAACTAACACTGTCGGTCAACTTTTTTTATTTTCCTAATTCTTGTTTTCAACTAGATACTGGAGATGGTTAAAATTTGTACACAACATTTGAAGTTTTATTAGGACTGCAGAAATTTTAGGTTGAATTTGCATCCATGAATACATCAACAGAATGAATAGTTGAAAGTTTTGTGTTGAACCACCTTAGAAAGTAGAAAAGAGTTTAACCTATTAGTTCCAGATTTCAAAACATAAATACGAGTAGTGTGTTTAAGATGTCTGGTACATTTTTTTCTGCTGCATTCACAAGAAAACTGTTTACCACTTACTAGTGGTCTATTACTCTAGGACCCACTGACTTCAGAAAACAGACTGGGAATCAGAAATAGTAGAGTCCATTTCTAATTAGGAATCTAGCTAGTTGGATGTTGACTAGACCTTTTGCTTAAAATTGGGCTGGAAATTCAGTATAATCTCTCATTGGGTTTTGGATAGAAATTTAGCTATTTGGATCCAAGGAAATTGGAATGCTAGTTGCCATAGCTTCCTAGAACTATGTATTTGATATTATGAGTAAAGCATCCTACAAATTAATATAATATATAACATCCTCTCTAGATTGAGAGTTCTTTTTGATGAGCCATAGCCATAGGCTGTTGCAGCTGAAAATCAAACGAACAATCCTCATGCTTGCTGCAAGACTTAATTGTTAGTTAACCTGTGACCAGATCCCCGTAGCTGCATCATATTGATATTAATGCAGGAGTTCATGGTAGATCTCTGTGTTTTAGAAGTAGTTCAAAACTTTCCCCAAATTGTACCAAGAAGATCAGCACAGGGTAGAAAAGAGTAAGCATGATGAGTCCTGTTTTAATAATAGACTGTGAGTTCACAATTTAGATTGAGGGCCTATCTAAGGAACTATGAACTGCTAAAGCTGACAAGATCACTGCTAGCCAAAGCCAGCGACAACTGTCAGCCAACATCCATTGCAGCACGTCCAAGGTTGTCTGTTCCATCTCAGCACCAACATCCTACCCATACTCTTAGTTGTCACACTTGAAGCCTTCAGCCATTAGGTGTTTACACTTATGTTTCTGTTGGAGTCTCTCATTTTTTCGGCAGTGAGAGCTCCCTCTATGGTTAGTTTTTTTATGGACTGCAGCTCTGATAGGAGACCATAGTATTCTTCAAATTGAGACATTGTATAGCTCTTCTCTAACATTTTTTAATTTTTTTTTTCATAGTTTAGAGAGTAACTATCGCCATTTTCTCGATTTTTTGAGGCTTTGGAATTTGTTGATTAGATTCTCTTTTTCATTTTAGATTGAATGGTGTTGCCTCTTAATTTAGAGATTTTTATCCCTTCTACTTAATGGGTTATAGGGAGGACCAAGAAGCACAAGGTGGAACGGAGGGGCTATTTTTGTTGGTTTGTGAATCATTTGGTAGGAACAGAATGCAAGATTTACCTGTACTATTTTCACACTCTATTACATAGTTTTGAATAGGTTGATTTTCTTTGCTGCCCTTTTTTCAAAGGGACGCCTTTATCTACTTTGCATAGCAATTGCATATTTCTTTTGAATTTCTGGTTTCTTTGTCTTTTGGGGAGGATACGTTGCTCTCTGCTTTTGCACATTCTCTTTGTCCTTGAGGAAAAATGATAAAGGGTAATAACATAGTATAAGTTAGATTGAACATAATTTTTGGTTTAATATTAGCTCTGATCTTCTGGTTCTTCCTTTCTTGTTCTTTCTTCCTAATTTTCTGTTTTCTTCTGTTCCCAGATTTATATTTTCCCTAATCTCTTATTTAAAAAATAAGTATTTTCCCTAATCTCAGTTCACCTGTCATTTTTCTAGTGTTTTTCTCTCCATATTCTTCTCTATTCTGTCATGGATCAAACAAGTTCCATTTATTCTTCTTGAAAGTGTTCCTGTTCCAGTTGTGATTCTTTAATTTAAGGATAAACTTAGATTGTTACCACACTCATGGATGAAGTGAAATAGTAATGTGGACAGCAAAGGACATAATATACACTTTAATGGACTAACATTGGGACTTGTAGTGGTTGATTCATTAGTATAGATATGGCAGATGCTTGCTTAGGTACTTTGCTCCAGCCACTAGTTTCAGGTAGCAACTGCCATTCAGTTTACCTGATGGAAATTGTTTGGTTTTTGCGAGAACCTTTTAATGCTTCTTTTAGCGAACGACCAAAAATATTAAAACATTTTTTCCTATGTTTAGATATGCTGTTAAATGACTATGTTCAGTAGAAAAGTGGAGCTATTCTGTCTCTTTTTTCTTATGTTGGCTTTATAATGCCTTCTCCTGGACATGTTGCTGTTTCAAATTGTCCCAAATTAATGCTAAAATTGTAGCTGTGCTACGTCTCTATCTTTTTATTATTGGCTTTGGAAGCTCTTCTCTTGGACAATTTTTTGTCACCATTTTCAGTAACTGAATTCAGTTTTTCTTTTCATGCTTTTGTAGATGGGTGACATAGCCAAGGACCTTACTGCTGGGACAGTTGGGGGGGCAGCACAATTGATATGTGGGCATCCCTTTGACACCATCAAGGTGAAGCTTCAAAGTCAACCTGCTCGACTTCCTGGCCAGCCTCCCAAGTATGCAGGGGCAATGGATGCAGTCCGGCAAACTTTAGCTGCTGAAGGTCCAAGGGGTTTGTACAAAGGTATGGGGGCACCGCTTGCAACTGTGGCAGCATTCAATGCAGTCCTTTTCACAGTTCGAGGGCAAATGGAAGCATTATTGAGGGCTGAACCTGGTGCATCCTTGACAGTTAACCAGCAAATCATTTGTGGGGCTGGGGCTGGAGTTGCTGTTTCCTTTTTAGCTTGCCCCACCGAATTGATCAAATGCAGGCAAGTATTCTGTTTTCACTCTCTTCCTGTCAGCCTATATCATGTAATTATTTACATGCTGGTCAAGACTCTTCTAGGTGTACAACTTCTAAATTCCTTTGACATTCTGCTTTTTTATGTTGTCAAACTTATTCCTGAGCTGTTGCCACCTTCAGTAGGCCCTTTCCATAGGAAGGAGAGAAATTCAAGGAAAATTTCAACTGTTTTCCTTTCTCTAATATCATTCAATAAATCCTATCCGCATTCTTTATTAAAAGAGTAAATTAGGTTAAAGATTTTAAGGATAAATTACACCGTTTGGAATTAATTGTCTATTTTTTTTCGGTCCTAAATAGGGATGTAATATTCAATAACACAAAGATAATTTTTAACATGATATCATAGTACTAGGCTAAAGAAACTCTAACTTTAGTTACACATCCTAGTCGACATTCATTGCCAAAAATAGAAAAGAAAAAATCCTAAAAGGGTTAGGTTAGCCTTCACAACTGGCCACTGAGACCAGCCACTAGCCACTGGCGCCGGCCACCAGGAGCAGACAATTCAGCCTTCATTACTGGTGCTAGAACCCTTCGGCCGCACCACTAGATGCCGCCGCGATTGGATCATCCCACCACCAGAGCTTCTCTGTTGTGACCAGACTTGACCGTGACCAGACTGCACCGCCAGGACACAAGCTTCTCAACCAAACTGCACCACTAGACGCGGATCGCAAATAGACTCACAACACTTGGATGCGAACGCGAGCCAACAACGAATGTGACCTGACCGCAAATGTAAGCTCCTCTCTGTTACGATTGTACCGCCAGACAATTCGCTACCAGGCGTGACCAGAGTGCAACCCAATGCGACCTCATGTGTCAAACGACACTTGCCCTTCACACCACTCTCTACTCTAGTAATCTGGTTGCCCTTAGCTGTAAGAACACTGGTTCGACTTGCTGGATCTCTGTGCAGAATCTCCTTTGTGCTCCATTAGCTGTGTAGAACCACACAGCACCTGGCAACCTTCATCTCCGACAGTGCACAGAGCTGCCACACAACTAGCCGTGAATGGGCCAGCCGCATATAGTTGAATTTAGGACCACCTTCGGTCTAGCCGCTCTTCAGTTCAGCTGCAACCACTTGTGTCTCTGGTAAAATCCCTTCTAGAATTTTTTTTATTTGACTTTAAAAATATAAAACTCTTGAAGGATGTTGGAGTTAACATCCTAAAATACTGGAATGTATTTCCACATGGAGAATCCAATCAAGATTATTCAGCCAATTCAGATGGCGTATTGCTTTACAGATAAAGATTTTGTTTGACTTGGTCCCAATTAATTCGGACCACCCTTGAGGATAAAGATGAGCTCAGCCATCTTCTAGGTACTAGGCCGAAATCTAGACCCCTATGTTTGATGCTTGGGAGAAAGAAGATTTTATGATCATGACATGATTTTAGGATTCCATAACTCCAGAAATAAGGAAGACCATAATATTCCTGCCTATAGTAGAAGCAGTACAGGATACATTTGGCAATCTAAACTCAAGGCTGTTTTACAAATTTGTAAGTTAACAATCAAGATATGATCTAAATCAAACAAGAAAACAAGTCAATAAATGAATATTCCAACTTAGTAAAAAAACTAGTCGCAAGAACTGGATCGGTACCACAATTTAACCATGGAATGAGTAGATATGCAGTTCGGCTTAAGAAATTTATAGAAAATGACAGCATATCAATTTCTGACAGTACAAAATCGCGAATATGATCAAATACGAGTATAGATTTTGAGAAAAGAGGAAATCTCAGCACCTAATGAGATAATTTCTATTGTGATAGTGGAGAGTAGAAGAGAGGTCATGCTAGAATGTGGCTCCATGATAGTTCAGCTATGATCACATGAAGTTCTTGACCTTGCTAGCAACAAAGGGGGTGAGTCAATCTGAAAACTCAACCCCAAGAACAGATAACATGAGTAATCTTTGACGTCCATTTTGCAAAAAGTCTATACACACCAAAGAAAAGTATTGGAAATTGTATGAAAAGCCAGTACTCCCAGCAAAGAGTGTAGATACAAAAATACCTCACTAAAGATTTCTTAAGAGGTTCATATGACTAACCAACGGAAAGAAGGAACACCTTCTGATCTCACTACTTTTTAAGGTAGAGACTGGTCGCTGTGAAGTCGATTGGAGGACCTTGAGAAGTCTATAGGTGTAAGTGTGATAAAACATTCGGGTGTACTTTTTTTTTACACAATTTGGATGCCTCAGACGAAGTTTAGGAAAGTTTTTAAATTATAAACTTAGGAGACACAAATCATATGACCAATAAATTTAAGTACTTTCACACATATGTTTCTTATCCAAATAACAAGAAGATTGTTACTGAAGATGATTCCTTAAATGTTATTACAGATAAGGGGAGCATTAAGCTTAGGCGTACTTTTATCTTAGAAGATGCGCTATATGCTCTTAAATTGTGTGCTAATCTTGTGTCAGTCTGTAAATTATCACAAGTTCTAAACTGTAAAGTAATATTTAACTCTTCTCACTATGGCTTCTATGATTAAAATTTTGGAAAGATGACTAGAAGTGTTGACGTCAGGCAAAGACTACTACTTCAATGCACTTGAAGGAGCCTTTTCCATTGTTACCATTGACTCCATACATAAAATTTGGTTCCACTATGAGAGGCTTGGGCTGCTATCTCCATTTCAAGGGTTTATGTTTCCTTTATTATTTAAAAATTCGGAATATAAAAATTTACGTTGCGATAGTTTTGAGTTTGCAAAATATAAACGTATAATATTTCTTATTAGTAATGAAAAAAAGTTTAATTTCATCTTCATTAATTAATAATAATATTTGAGAATCAACCCACATACTTGATATTTTTGGGGTTTGATAGTTTTTGTTATTTATTGACAATTACATTAGAGCCACCTGACTATTTTTACTTAAAGATAAATATGATCTTAATCATATCATACTCAAGTTATGGAATATGATAAAAACCCAATATGACACGACAAAAAAAAAATTTCATATTGGGGGCCCCGAAGATTTTTTCAATCCCACTTTCATCATTTTTCCATAAGAAAGAAATTCTTCACGAATCATTCTACATCTTACATCTTACATCTTACATCTTACATCCACACTCTTTAACCACAACCAAAGTTTTTTTTTTTCTAAAATAATATCCCATAAAAATATTGGAACGAAGCTATTCTGACTACCACCTATATTATTAATCGCATAAACACTAGTGTTCTTACTTCAAAAGTCATATGGAAATAATTCAAAAGATTTGCCAAGCAATAAACATCATAAACCATCTAGTCCTTTGGATATTTAGATGTGTTGCCTTTTTCCGTATTCATTCTCACTGAAGTGGGAAACATAATCCCCAAGCGTTAATGTATGGACTCAAATAATTGTTAAGAACATGGTTTGACAAGTTCACAAGGGTAATTTGGAATTTAAGCATACTCAAGGAGATCACATTTTATTCATCAAACACTCAGAGACAGAGTTACAGGATTCGTAGTATATGTTAATAATATTATCGTAACAGGAAATGATGAGAAAAAATAACTGACACTAAAATAGTAACTTGCAAAAGGATTTGAAATCAAGAAATTAGACAAGTTGAAGTATTTTTTAGGAATTGAAATCTCGTGCTCATAATTTGGGATTTTTATTTCTTAATAGAAATGCATTGATGACCAGTTAAGAGACACTAACAAGTTAGGATGCAAGTTAGCTAGCATATCTATTGATACTAATAAAAAATTAGGAATAGCAGAAGAAGATACACTATAAAGAAGGAAATATGTTAGAGATCAATTGAGAGATTGATCTACTTATTCCACATGAGTAAGTGTCACAGACAATTCATGCACAATCTGAAAGAAGTGCACTTACAAGTAGGGTATAAAATACTACAATACCTAAAAGGGTCATAAGAGAAAAGAATCATATTCAAGAAGAATGGCAAACTGCTTCTTGAAGCTTATATCTGATGCAAATTATGTAGGTCCAATTGTACATGAAAGATCTATTGGATGATACTATACCTTCTTTGAGGGCAACCTAGTCATATAGAAAAGTACTAAATAAAATATAATTATGAGATTAAGTGCAGAATAGAGATTAAGTAATGACACAAGAGTTAATTGAACTATTATGGATAAATTTTTTTTTTGGAAGATCTTAGAATCAAATGGGAAACACTATGCCTATACTATAATAATAAATCGATCATAAGTATTGGTCATAATTCGATGTAACATGACCAAATCAAACACAGGGATTGGTAAATATTTTATCAAAGAAAAACTTAGCAGTGCCCTATTATATGCTCGATACATGCCTACCAATTTTCAACTATTTTATATGTTATATTAAAGATTTAAGCAATCTATTATTTTTTTTTAAAAAAATTTAAGCAATCCAACATTACAAACTCTTATTGGCAAGTTGGGGATGGATGACATCTATTTCCCAACTTGAGGAGTGTTGGAGTAAATTAGATTAAAATGTAAGAGTATATTACACCATTTATAAATAATTATAATTAATTATTTTATTTAAAAAATATAATTATAATTAATTGTTTATTTCTTTTTTCATCTTATAAAATCTATATATATAAAAATATAATATTTAATAAAAAAGCATCAAATCATTCTTAAAACTAAACCAGATGTTTATATTCAAGGAGAGAAACTCAAGAAAATTTCAATAATTTCCTTCTAATATCATTCAATAAATCGTTATTATATTATCTGAATTAAACCAGATTTTGGTTAATGGCAAAAATTGTATAAACATTATAGTAGCTTCTATATGTTTGGAGAAATTCAAATAAAGCCTTCATGGCTGATTAATTCAAGTATATTGCGCACCCTATCTTAAATCAATCATTTGATATGTAGGCTTTTAATCATAATTTTATATTTGTTCATAATTTAACCAAGTCTGTGAAATTCTACTGTGATAGATATCTATTTTTGTCAAGCTATGGATTATTAAATACTTCTATTTTCAAATACTATTTTTATTCAAAATTTTCTCATTTTTATTTTAGTCTTATTCCCATTCCAAATTGAAGATACATGGCCTAAAAAGTAATGTGTTTTGTGGCTAAAAGCAGGTTACAAGCCCAAAGCGCATTAGCAAGCACTGGCTCAGCAGCTGTGGCAGTAAAATATGGGGGGCCCATGGATGTTGCCAGGCATGTTCTCAAATCAGAAGGTGGTGTGGTGGGTCTCTTCAAGGGCTTGGTTCCCACTTTGGCTCGTGAGGTACCCGGAAATGCTATTATGTTTGGTGTGTATGAAGGATTTAAGCAGTTTCTCGCAGGAGGTTCGGACACTTCTCAGTTGGGAAGAGGCTCTTTGATGGTGGCTGGAGGCCTGGCTGGGGGTTCTTTCTGGTTAACAGTCTACCCTACCGATGTTATCAAGAGTGTAATCCAGGTCGATGACTTTAAAAATCCTAAATACTCTGGTTCAATTGATGCCTTCAGAAAGATCCTGGCAGCAGAGGGCATTAAGGGATTATACAAAGGATTTGGTCCTGCAATGGCCCGAAGTGTACCTGCTAATGCAGCTTGCTTCTTGGCATATGAGTTGACAAGATCTAGTTTGGGATAGATGATGGCCAAGGATGCGGTGAAGATTGAGCGAAGCTTTGTGGAGGAAATAGCTTCACAATTTGATCGAAAAGGCTATAAATTCTTAAAGATTTTAATGTAATTTTTCATTTCATTCTTCAAGTTTTTAGCTATTCATAATTAGGGTGCTGGAATGAACTTTCATTTCACCAATCATCTCGATTACATGAACAAATTGCAGAATTATTTCATCTCAATTTGCTTAGCAGATGGCTCTTTCAGTGGAATATATGAATTTCACTAGTGTAGTAAATCAGAACAATGCAAGGATTAAGCCACCATGATTGATAGCCCACCCGTATACATTGGGAAGCTAGGTCATAAGAATGCAAGCTGAAACAGTACACAGCCAATCTAAGGGGTTCTTGATTGTTTATTGCTTTTAATAATTTTTAGTCGTCTGTTTGAATTTAACAAAATTAGTTATGTCCTTTCTTGTTTAAGATAATGAGAGTTTAAACTTTACCAAATGCTGTTTAGAGTCTTAATTTTGTTTTAATTTAACTGTATGATAGGAAAATAAGCAAGATATTTTTAATATTTTGGAGGTATTTATATTTTTGTCTAATTAACTTATTTTTAGCCTTTGTTATTATTTATAGTTTTCCAAACAAATACCTAATTTTTCAAGAAATTTACCCAGTGATTTAAATATTTTTAACAAATCCTAAACACACTCCAATTACATTGGGAATCTAGGTTTGAACCATGTATTCTATTTTGGCAACAGTCATGGATTGAACGTGTGTACTGTTGAGTTCCATTAATTTCAATTTCTACAGTTCCGTAATCTTTAGATTAATCATGTTTAGGTAAATTTGTTTTTCTTAATTACAATAATAAAATTTTAGAATTATCTATAATATACAATTGTAGAATTCTATCTTTTTATATGAAAATATATCATTCATATGATTTAATAAGGTTTTATAAAACTTATAACTAGTTTAATTAAATCACATAAAAGTACATAAACTTTTTAGGATTAAAATATTTCTCTTATAAAGCTTAGTGAAACTTAAGTTAAAAGAATAAGTATTCTTACGTTAGTATTATGATTAGATTTTTAGTTGATACATAGTGAAATTTCAAGTAAGAATCTATTGTTGAGTCAATCTAACATATACTATACATTATTTTAATAAGATTAAACACTTATTTATAAATAATATATTGTAAATATAATGATATCAAGATAGTTATTTGAGTAAATTTTTTTATAAATATGTATTTAGAATTAAATAATCTCTCATTATTGTTATATTTTGTTTAAATAGTTTAACAATATAGTTTACTGCATAAATTTTTTTATAATCTTGAAATTTTACTTCGTATCAGTAGAATATGAAAAAATTATTATTTTTTAATTTAAAATATTGATAAATATAAACGTGCTCACTTTTATTTATATTCGTGAAATATTTCTACTAATTTGTTTAACAAAATTTTTTTATAATTATTTAAAGAGTAACAAATGAAAAAAAGTATGATAGTAACCAAACATTAATGTATTTTATTTAAATTTTTAATAAAATTGTAAAGTATAAGATTATATAATTTAAAATATAAAACAAACTATATTTAAACATTAATAAATATATTAATTAAATAACATATATAAATGATCATTAAACACATACATAATTGATAAAATTATAAATGATTAGATAAAGTATAATTAAATTAAATAATTTCTAAAAGATATAAAAAATAACATGACCATTCTGCCATGGCTGGCCGGAGGGCCACCAAGACCAACAATGGTCCAATGACCATGTTTGATAATTAATATATATAGTTAAAAAATAATTAAATTAACCGTTTGAATATTTTGGGTTAGTTATTTTTGTACTCAAACTAACCATAGGGAAGAGAAGAATATGAATTGAAAGAAAAAGTAATAAGAGATCTAATACGTTTTTGGGTGAAAGGAACATTCCGTAAAAACAAGATTTCATTAGTTGAAATAATTAAACAAATTAAAAATCTGATCTATCATTTTGATACAAAAAAATAATGTAAAAAAAAACACGTTAAAAAATTTAATAAAATTGTTTAAATAATAAATTACTCTTTTCAGCCTAGCAATTCATGATGACGTCATCTTCTTAGTCTCTAAATTTGTTAATCAAGCACGCCAATTAGTTAACTTGTATAGATATTGAGTTTACATTAGATACTATCAAATAGAGTTGTACTCTAAAAGCTAAAATATTTTTCATAATGTCTATTTTTTCTAAAACTCTATTAAATCTTGTCAAATATTTGAAAACTTAGTATGTTAATAAAAGTCTCCCTTGATGTCTCCTTTTATGTCCTATTACTTTTATGTTCTAATTGTGTCATTTAGCATTCAAATAGAATATCTTTCAAAAAGATCTTTGGTTTGGAGTGCCTTTAAATAGAATATCTTTCAAAAATGTCTTTTTCTCAAATATGTTCTTTTTAGTCTACTCTAAATAGTATAGACTTTATAATAACTTCCGTTTAGATGCTTATTAAAAGTTATTTTTAGGTACAATGAACTCTTTATGTAAACTCAAATTGTTACTTAGGCAACTTTTAAGATATAATATTAGTAGATGATGGAGGAAGGTAAATTGTTTATGTTAAGATCAAAATAGACTTTATTTTCTGCATCCAAATGGTTTCGGGTTTATTCCTAACATTGCCTAATAAAGAGGAATTTTGGATTGATTTTCGATATGAACTTCTTCGTGAATTCTATTATACATCTGGATATATATTTTATAATTATGAAACTTGTCTAGTTCAAAAGTCTAACATTTCAATATCTTCACAAGTGAAAGTACTCAAGCCTTAGAGCTTCTGGATAAAACTTGATATTTTTGCTTCTATGCACTCTGCATGAGAAAAGAGTTGCACTATAACATCAAAATTTCCAATTTTCTCCTCATGTAGCATTACATATCTTTTTCGATATCATCCCATCCTTTATGATACTCTGGGCTCTACGAACCCTCACCACATGATTTTGTTCATTACTTTTTTTTTCCATGAACACATTGTCATCACCTTCTTCTTATCATATCTCCAGCTCACGCCTATTCATTCTCTTGATACCTTACATTCTCCTATCACTAGTCATTTTTCATCCTTAAACATCTATCCTCATACTACATTATCTTCATTCCTTACCTTACCACCCCTTCCTTACTCAAGATTATAGTATAATCCTCTTTGGTTCTCTGCCAAAATTTTTTATTTCTTGTATAATTATTATTGTCTCTCCACCATTTTTTGTGCCTAGAAAAAAAAAGAATAAATAAAATGATATATATATATATATATATACATACATTGAGTTCTCTTTTTTTTTTGTTAGCTCAAACAAAAAATAAATAATAGTTAAAAAAAAAAATTGACCGGCAAACCATAAAAGGGAGGAGCTTAGATAAATGGAAAAGGGGGACAAAAAGGTAAATGTGGCTAAAATGGGTGAATCAGCAACCAAATTCTAACTAACCAATCAGCTTCGGACAAGTGTTCAAAAGACGCCAGAAGGTAGTGATGGAAGGAAGGACGGCTCTGATGATGCCACATAATAAGGACGGGGCGAATCGCACGGTGCTGATGCAGTAGTTCAAATGTGGACGGTTCAGATTTGCCAAAATAGGGCAACGGCCAGGATCATTTCACCAGCGGCTGTAAGTAGAGCAGGAGCAGAGCTACAGTGCAGAGGAGCTAGAGGAATATGAGTGAACCTGTATTTTACAGAGTTGTTGAGTGGTTTTGGGATGAGAAAAAAAATAAAAAAAAATAAAAAGGAGAGTTAAAAGAGGGTGACAGTGAAATAAATAATCCAACACAAACCTGGGGGTGTTATGATAAATTTTAACCATGGGAGACCATATTATTTTTACTGCTGCTCTGGACAAGCTGGAGAGGTGAATGACTTGGGAAAATAAATATTAAATAAATAACTGGAAACAGGTGCAGGTAGAGAGGAAGAGCTTATTGGGATGGGGAACTCTAGAGAGATATATCAGTTGTGGGAATAAGGAAATCAAGGGGGAAATGGAAAAAAAATTGGCTTGGGTAATAGCTTGAGTGTTGTAAGCAGGTTTGGGGTAAAAAAAAAAAAATGGTGGGTGAAATAAAATGGAAGTTGCTGTGGACTTCTGCATAAACTTGGTGTGGAACACATCAGATGCTGTTGTGATTTTCTGGGCAGATTACAGGAGGAAAAAAAAAGGGTTACTGTGAAGGGTTCTGGGTGAATATTAGCAAGAAATGGAGAGAATGACAGGCTGTAATAAGTGGGAATATGAGGGGCATGGGGATTAATGGATGCAGAAAGGATTTGAGGAAAATAGAAATTTATTTCTTTTTATTTCAGTACGTTGGTTTTTAGTTCTAAATTATTTTTATTGGGCTCTGTAGCTCATCGTTTTATTGTATTACAGAGGCAGTTAAACAGGAACAAAATCAAGAGCTCCCAGAACCTGACCTGACTCAGAATGCATGCAGACTTAGCAGTTGTTGCTGACGAATGATTTAGCTTGTTTACAAGTTATAGAATTACTATTTGTAAAGCAGAAGTAAAACAGAATTGTATAACACTTGATTTAGATTTCTTTGTTTGTTAAAACAGATTATGAATTTTACATATGTTAGGGGTAGATACCTCATGAAACAGGATGTATATGGAAAGATTGTGAAGCGAATGATATGATGTTTGTCTTCAATGCTCCACTAATATAGGGGATGTTACATTTCTCCTCTCAACCCTTCCAAATACTACCTCTCATCTTGGGCTTTTATCTCAAACATTCACGGGTTGAAGCCATAAGTGAACTACTAGCATTGCCCTCATATTCATTGTTAATATTTACTATCCTTTCATGATCTTTCTAGCTAAAACTAGACTCCCTAATAACTTTATGCATTCTCTATATATACACCTCAAATGTACATCCGTAATAGTTAGTCCCCACTCAAAGTGGTATCATTTACTCATATTCCAAGTACTCTCTCTCTCACTCATAACACTTTACCTAATAAATCATATTCCTCTACCATCTATGGTCGTCCTCACCTCAAAGCTAAACCTAAAATTTTTCAAGCTCTCCATCATATTTTATAGTAACAGAACATGCATGGCTAATTATAGGGTATTTTAATGACACTTTGAAATATAAAAAGTGTAATAATCACAAACGTTCTCCCAATCACCCTACTCTTCAATTTCAGCAAAATGTTGATTGCCTCGAGCTCTTAGGACTTAGCTTTAAGGGGTCCTCACGCATGGTCTAATTTTTAAAGAATGGTTTGGCTATCATTAAAGCAAAGTTGGAGTGAACACTAACAAGCTCTCAGCAACAACTTTTTTTCCTATTACTATGGTCACTCATCTCCCAATAACTTTTTATGATCGAAGCTCACTCGTTATCAACATTAATGCTACCTATTCACCATCTACCTTTTTTAAGTAGTTCAAAATTGAAAGTTCCTAACTTTAAGATAATTCTTGTTATTTTCTTATTTTCAAGTTTCACTAAATATTACTCTAAACTCAATTGTTCATCATTTTTGTACAAATAATGAAAGCTACTTGTAAATGTATGAGATAATGACATCATTACTTTTATGAGATCTATCTCAAACATTGCTAGCTGTACAAACATAACTAAATTCAATTCAATAGTCCCCACCTACCGTATAACAGTATATAAAAGGCTCAGCTTCAAAATCAACTACAAACCCTACTAGCCATTCAGGAAATTTACTAGAAACAATGGTCTAAATAACATTCAATCCAATAGGGGAAATATAATACCAAATACTTTCATCTATGAGCCACATATCATTAAAAAGAAAAATTATATTTCAAACATTAAACTGGACTGAGGAGAGTGGCTCACAGAGCCTGAGGATATGCCATTTAGTTTAAGACTCATATTTATAATATTTTACCCCCATACATCCCTTATTTCTACGTTATATAGACTTTCTCTATTCTCCTTTTATTTATGATACAATCAATTTCTAATTAGAGGCTATTTCTTAGGAGCCAAAAAGTTATGCTAATCTTAAAAGTATAAGAAGTAAGTCCCCGAGCCTTGGTGGAATACCCTTTTTTTTTAAGCCTTTTAATCTATCATTAGGCTTGATATCATTACTTATCTTCAAGTATTTTGCTCATTTAGTTTTTTTTTTTTAACAACTTAACAAGACAAACCTATTCGTCATCCCCAAATTTTTATATCCTCATCTACCTACCAACTATAGATTTATCTACTTATGTAAAATCAGTTACAAGATCATCTCATAATTCTTAGTACTTAGGCTGAGACCACTAATGGACCAACTCATCTTGCCTCATCAATATGTTTATAATAATAATATATTTATTCACAATAATCATACCGATGCTTATGAAATTTTTGATTATATGAAAAAAAGGATAGATGAAAATAAATGTTAATAGCCTCTGATAAGGTGAAATGGATTTTTAAAGGTTGTCTTAAACACATTGAATTTTTTATTTCTAAGATCATTGAACTCCTACCATAATGCTTTACCACCTATTCTTATCCAATTCTCATAAATGAAAACCTTATCCAAGGCACATCACCTCAAAAGGATCTAAGATAAATGACCTCCTTTTTTCACACCTTTTTATTCTTTTAACTGATGCTCTTTCTAGGCTAATTACTCCTGTTGAGATTCAATAACTTTTCACAAGCCTCAAAATCTCTCAATTAGTTCCCTCACTTACTAATCTTTTATATACTTATCTATTTGGAAATGTTATAGAAGCTAATCTCAGAGTATTTTTGGACACCTTGAACCTTTATTATTTCTTGTTTAGCTAAAGTTTAAACTTTTATAAGTCCCCCATGCATTTTACTGCTAATATCTCATACCTTTTTAGTTATAATTGCATTATATCTTATATTTCTTGGTTTGGTGATTCTAGTAGATATTCCTAATTCAAGATCAAATGGTTAAGTTGAGATATACTCACCCTCCTTAGGAATTTTGAAAAACTAGGTTTTCTTAGACTTAAAAAATCTAACCTAGCCCTAATTATTAAACTAAGATAGACAGTTATCTCTTCTCTCTCTAAGCCTTATGTCAATTATTGAAAACTAGTTACCTTGATGCCTCGTCCCTTTTCTATATCCTCAAACCTAACAATTTGCTTTTGTGGGCAAGTATTCTAGCTAGTCTTTAATCACTATACATGAAAGCCTATAAATCGCTAGTTCTAAGGGATTATACCAAAATTTGGATGAACCCTAAACCTATTTCCTCTTCAATTTCACCTAACCCTAGCCATTAGATCTGCAAATCACCCGATTGAGTCAACTTATCTAATGCTTAATCCAAACTTGGCATTCCACCCTAATTCATCAACAATTCCCTATATCTATTACTTCAACTATTATCCATCTTTCTATTTCACAAAACCTTGATGCCCTAGATCTTTAAAAATTGAAATTGACTCCTCATTCCTACTTCACTATACACTACACGTACTCTTTTCTCCCATAATCCTTTATCTCCTTATAATACTTAAGTGTATCTTACACTAAAAAGGAATGTGAAAAATGAATATTTTTCATAGACACAAATTCCTCAAATAGCACATATTGCGACAAATCCTACCAGGTATTAATATTGACTCTTTTTATACTACTTACTATGGTTGTAGATTATGAGAGTTATATATTAGACTCATATCATCATCTAATCCTAAAATATATTTTTTTTCACCTATTGTGATTAATATCACCATGAGGAGTTTGCATCCTTTAATAACCATGCAAAATAGTCAATAATGGTATTCATTCCTATTCATGCATCAACAAATATGTTTCTAAAATATAAATTATAAAGAACTTTCCTATATGCCTCCTATTATTGGTATAACCAAACTATGCATAACAAAGTAGTTTCTACCTTAATCATGCAATCATATTATACATGACAACTATCATCACATGCAATAATTGCTCAATAATAAATCCTACTCGAATAAATTTATAGAAGAGATTCCACAAGCAAAAACTTAAATGGATTTTTTTTTTTTGTTGGTTATGTGATGCACACCACTTGTTGGTTGCTTGATCAAATGATTCCTTTTTTAAGTGTAGGTTAAAAATTAAGTGTAAATTACCATTTCAATCCTTGAATTATTCATCAAATTATAATTAAATCTCTATTTTTTTGGTTATAATTTAGTTTCTAAAGTTATAAAATTATGTTAATTTATGATCTTCTTACACGATTATAAAATTTTAATGGGAACAAACGAAAATATTTAATTTCACCCATATTTTATTTTCTAAAAATTAATAAACTTAACAAGAATATTGAATGTGTTTTTATTTAAATCATATAGATGATAATAATATGAATTATGGAAGGTGAAGATATAGGTAAACAAGGAACACCAAATCTATGTAACTTTATTGATGAAATAGGTAAACAACTAGAGCAAATAGTAACTCTTGTAATATTGCAATATTGTCAAGTATTTATTAATAGGCAAAATAAGTTTAAGTAGAATATAAACTATGAAATTACAATTTCTAAGATTCTAATCTAATCAAATAAGCAGAATATAATATGATATATATATATATATATATATCTAAAATAACGACTAGCCAGAAAAAAAACATTTAATACCAGGGAGAGGGAAAGGAATTCAAACAGCTCAGAATGAGTTGTCAAACTCAAACTTTTTTGTAAAAAGAAATCACTTTCGGTGGCATCCGCAAATCACGCAAAAGCATGCACAGAACATGTGATTTCTTTTTAGAAATTCAATCATCAAAACCACTTGAGGATCCAAGTCTGAAACAGAACAACCATGTGTTTTTCTACTTCTACAAATTAATTAACATTCATATTCATATATGTATATATATATATATATATATATATATATATTACGTATAACCTTGTTTGTATCTTCGAAATATGTCTTCTGTTTTAGCATTCCGAAAAGCACAACAGCCTATGACGTATACAAAAATGAAAGCGACGAGTGTAATGACCAAAATTACGTCAGCCCTTCTCCATTCTCTCTTCAGATTCTCCAATAATCCTGCTTTACATGAATCGCAATTGTAGCAGAGTTGATTTTGGTCGTTGCTCCAGTTCAGACAATCCATGTCTGCCGCAGTATTTATTGGACTTATCCAGTACGTCGGGTTTATATATGTGTATCCACATGCTGTCGGGGGCTTGCAACATCCGGACTGCGCAATCACATATGATTTCTTAGTTAACTGATTAACGTTAATTCATATAATACTTACTAAAAAGTTTGATATCAACATTGATCTAACTTAAATGAAATATTTAGAAGATGGTTAAACCCAGACTTTGAATTCTACCTTACACAGTACCAGAAAAGAAAATAAAAATCATTGCCTAAGCACTAAGTTTTCGGCAAGTTCCATATTTCTTTTGGGGTTTCACTAACTCATAATATTTGTAAAAATCACTTTAGAAATCGAAAAAGTATGGAAACATTTTTGCTTTAAACTTGGATTTTTTTTTTTTTTTTCATTGTGACTCTTTTGAGTTGAGATGCATTTGGATGAGGCGGGAATGGTGAGAGTTCACCGTAATTTTCAACCACATCTCATAAATAAAAAAATTGTAGGGTATGTTTGTATTTTCATAATTCGTAATTGATATATATTTTTTTTTTGTGAAAATGAGAGAAGAAAGCAAAGAAAAAGTGTTTGAGGTTATATTTGATGTAAGTAATTCATTTGTTTTCTCTCTATTTTTTTTCTTACATATCCATGATCATTAATGTAAGTAATTCATTTGTTTTCTTGACTCTGATACTATTTGTTATATTTTTTTTTATTTTGTTATTTTTTTAAAAATAAATTTTATTTAATTAAAAACTAATAAATAAAATAAATTATAATTTCTACGTTAATTTTTAACAAAATCTTCATCCTCAACAAATAAAACAAAATTCATATTACTTTTTCAAAAATATAGAAATTAACATATAGCAAGAGAAGTATTGATCACCTGTAAAGGGCCAATGTGAGCATTAAAGAAGTCTTGAGCCATACGGTAGCTCTGGTTCAACTCAGCACACATATTTGTAGAACCGAGGCAGTTTCTAATCCGATCCCACTTAAAAGAAGATCGAACCCGTCGACGAAGCCAGCCAGAATAATCATCAAGACGATATTCCAAGTAAGCTCGACTCGGTGCCAGATGACCTGCGCCTTTAAGAGTCACCATGTAAATGAAAACAACCAAACAAGCAAGCAGAATTATGAGGATGAGCATGGCGATGAGGTAAACAATGAGCAGCCATGGAATGCGCCAGAACCCTCCTATCAACCCTGCAACTGCAACAAACAACATTAGGATGCCCAGGATGATGACAGGCCATTGTAAAATCTTCACGCAAGAGTTGTCTGGTTCCATTGCCAGCCAGATTCCAGAGCCAATCACTGGAATCGAAAGAAGAAGGGCAATCAAGTTTATGCAGCCGATTACGTTGTTGCTCAAAGCCATTTTCTTCTTGTTTTCTTGGGGATGGAGAGAGTACCTGTGATTTTTTGAAGAAGAAGTTAGGGTACGGAGATTAATTTATGTTTATGTGGAAAAAATGGGTATATGATGCAGCTTTTTTCATGCAACCCCACCCATTTTTGTTCTTTTCTTTCTATGCATGAAAAGGAGAGAATACAAGTGAAATTATTAATCACAGGTAAGAAAAGTTGGCATACAACTTCATAAAATTTTTTACAAGTATTTATCTTTACTGATAGAATATACAATTAATAATTTTGATGAGACTTTGATTAAGAATTTGTTTGCAAAAATTTTAACTTAATATTTGATACTAAGAAAAACATTTTTATAAACATGATAAATAAAAGGGCTAAGCTACCTCTTCGATACCCACTCTTGTGTTAAATATATATATATATGTGTGTGTGTGTGTGTGTGTGTGTAAAAAGTAAAGAATAATAAATTTTATACAGACATTTTTTGTCTTTTGATGTCACTTTTTGAAAAGGAATTTCTCCCACTGGATGCTTTAAGGGAACTAAAAAGAACTAAGAAGCTGCCTGAATTGAGTTACTTATTTATAGCAAATAATGGCTCTTTTTCTTTTTCAATTTCTTTTTTTTCTATTTGCTCATATATATATATATGTGTGTGTGTGTGTGTGTGTGTGTATAGCTTCTTGTTTTAGCTAGTGGAATTTTAATTATGGAAATCTTTAACTGGGGAAAAATACTGTTTATGTATATTGTTAATATATGTATATATTTATATATATATATATATATATACATACACATGTATGTATGTATGTGTGGGTGTATCATTTTACTATAAAAAAGCAAATATTGTTTAATCATTGTTGTTGATGCTAAACAATGAACCTATACCAATTCAACTATGACACTACTGTTTATGTCATTGATTATCATCTGCTCTTGATTGGTGGAGCCATGAATGCTGTTGAATTGGTGCCATACAGAAATACAATAAATTTAGTCTGGGTTAAGATGTAAGAATCTCTCTATTTAACCTAACTCCTGCCCAAAAGGTGCATAGTATGGAAATAATAAATTTTGTAGAAAGAGAATAGGAGAGGAAATTAACAATATAAAGTGCAAATTTTAAATTAGTTTCTTATGTTTCAAGATTTATCGGTTTAAGTGTTTGTGTATTTATTTTTTGATAATTTATAATCTCATGGTTGAAATATTAAATCAAATTGGTTGAGAGTTTTGGTTTTTATCTAGTAATCATTTTCTTTTAATTTAAGAATGTTGATTTTTTTGTTTCATAACTCCGTTATATTATAATTCAGATGTTAGTCAAATTAGTTTACTATATTAGTAATAAAATAAATAATTTGACCATTATCTATCCATACACATGCATACCTAGAACAATTAAAAATCAGATTTATATCTAAGTAAAATTAAAAAAAAATATAGAAATCATGAGTCAATCTCATGGATCTCCTCTATAACTTTTCCTTCTTCAAACATTCACGGAAGACATTGGTAGTAAAATAATATGCATGTTCAATCAAAGTTCCTTTATTTCATGGAAGCTTAGTAAACAAGATGAAGCTTTTTTTTCCATTTCTTAATTACATTCTTCTTTGCTATCATCACTCTCTATGCTTTTCACTCATTCAAATTCACACACAACAAATAGATTCTTACACCTTCAATTTAATCCTCAATGGTTTTCCCTTTGATTCTACCTCACTCTAATGCTTCTGTATTTGGAACAATCAAGGATTCATCATTCAAGTAAGTTTTTCTTAATTTCTAAAATCACATTTTATTTCAATACAGTTTTTATTAATTCATGCCATGCACCAAAGAGAATAAATGGTATAATACATATAAACTTCACTAAATCTATGGAGCATTATTTTATTTGAAACTCTAGATTTGAGTTTGTAGATTGCAATTGGGTTCTCAATCAATGACATGATTATGAGATTCAACACAATTGTGGAGTCCATCTCTTTCATGACAGATTAGTCATGGTGAAACTTTATTTTCTTAGAGGAAAATAATAGAATCTTACTAGCGCATGACTGGGAGAACCCATAAGTTGTTGATATTTATATGAGAATATTATCCCAAAGACTTACAAGAGCTTCTTAAAGGAGATTAAGAAGTAAGACAATAATGTTCTTCACAAAGGGTTGAAGAACATGGAAATGATAAAGGAGAAGAGTTATATTGAGGTTTCTATTATTCTTTTTAATTTTTTAATATTTAAATTTTATTTTTAGCTAGGTAATTAATTTTTTTTTTGTTACTTATGTGCATGGTTGTGGTTGGCCTTAGTAATTAAGGTCGTATTGATTTGTCTGAATGAAGAATTTTCGTTGCATCAAAGAGCGTCTCCAAGTTTGGATAGCCACAACAATGGCCAACATTTCTTTAGCATATGTCGATCATGATCCTTTTGACATGCCCAAGGCTCAGCTCATGTAAGCTACGGGTTTTTCCAGTTGAGTAAGGATTGCCCAAATTCCATCCCCCTAAAATATCAACCCTCAATAATAAATGATTCATTGAAGTTAGATAATGCTACTGTTAGTGTGGAAATCATAGCTTGTTTGAGGCCTTCAAAAACAGTTTCGACTTCACCATTACAACTTAACTACTGTTTTTAAAATAAATCAGTGAAAGGATGAGCCAATATCCCATAATTGCGGACAAACTTCCCATAGTAATCTATAAGTCCAAGAATCCACACAAATCTATGATATTAACAGGTCTTGGTCAGTCTAACATTGTTTGTATTTTTTCTTGGTTAACTTTTACTCATCGATGAGTAATAATATGACCCAAGTATTTTAGTTTATGCTATTTAAATTTACACTTCTTGAATTTGACAAAAAATTTGTGTTGCATTAAGATTTCAAAAGCTTGTCTTATGTGTGTAAGATGTATGATCCAATTAGAGCTATAGATCAAGATATCGTTAAAAAACACTAACATGAATTTACAAAGATATGATAGACATATAAAGTTCATGATGGCTTAAAAAATGGATGGGATATTGCAAAGACCAAAAAGTATTACCAAATATTCACAATGATCATTACATACATAAGATATAGTTTTATGATATCAAATAAAAGCACATGGACCAGATTGTAACTAGTCTTCAATCTATTTAGTGAAATAGACGACCCCATATTACTCATCTAGCATGTCATCCACTGTAGGAATTGGAAACCAATCTTTTATGGACACTGTATTAAAAGCTCTATAATTAATGTAAAGGCATTTTGTACCATTTTTTTTTCTCAACTAGTAAAACAGGAATGAAAAATGACTAATAATGAATCGAGTGCATCCTAATTTTAACATGTCTTAAACCTTGTTTTTTAATTTCTACTTTTTAAAAATAGGCATACCCATAAAATCTTACATTAATAGGTTCAGTCCTCTCTTTAATATTAATGTAGTAGTCAATCTCTTTTGTTGGAGATAGTTGTTTTGCCTCTTGAAAAATATTTTTAAAATCCTACAATAACTACTGCATATAGAGTGTAACCTTTTCCTACAACAATTCCATCCTATTTATTAAATAAACAACAAACAGGAGATTTACTCACCCGAATCCTTTTCTCACCGCCTTCATGGATGTTGATTGGATTATCTGAACATTCATTCCTTGCAACTTCTAAACTTGATTATTCTATTAAAATTCCATCGTCATTTTGCTCAAGTCATAAATGATTGTTCTCGATTGTTGTAATCATTGTACTCTCAACACTTCATCCAGCTAACTGAGTAGTAAAACATGAAAAGTAAAGGTGAATAGAATATTTTAGAGCAAAATGTGGATTTTTTCAAATATTCCCTAACACTTCAATAACTTTCCATTTATCATTTTCATATTCAATGACTTAGTTGGTATTATTGGAAGTTTCAGGTTTTTAGTAATAGTTCACTAATGAAAATTTGAGTGGATCCATTTCACTAAAGATCGTCAATTCTTGATTCTTAATCTTGGTTGTGATCCTCATAGTTATAGACGTTGACCATCTAATAAGAGCAGATGGAGATATTTTTAATTCACCGACTACCAACTATTTTTAACTTATACAGTTGTCTACTTCTCGAAGTAATAGTTGAGATCTTCGTCATTTGTGACCTGAGTTGATATTCTCATCACAATTAAAAGAAAGGGCTTAAGCTCGGATTTGTAGCATTTCATCCCATGTAATACATTTCATGCAAGTGGCCGTTTTTGTTTTTATTTTCGAGACAAGGTCGAGTTATTCCAAGTTAAATCGTTGTGGCCTTGTGAACTTCCACTAACCAATTAATTAGTCGTCTCACATTCATGCAAAGCTTATGGCTTCCTTTAGTGACTTGGGTTTGAACATTTGAATTCATTATGCAATTTCCAATGTAAAGCTTCCTATAAGTGTTCCCACTAACTCCTCTTATGTCCAGCCTTGCACTCAGTTCCTTAGCTTCCCAAAATCTTTTTGGCAACCTTGCAAAGTGCTTACCTATTTCACTTTCAATAATACTTCATCAAAATATTTATACTATATCAATCCAAACTGAACCCATAATTGTCCCTAAAAAATTGCTCATTTCAATTCTCATCCTTCTTTATAGGCACAACGTAACCATTGTCATCATCGATTTGTTTCACCTTTAAGGTGAAAGGAAACCAATGGTACTTTTTGAGTGTCAGTCGTGCCTTGGTACTCAAAGAATTACGCCACTCCATTAAACCATTCAGTAAGTTCATCTCCTGCATATTTTAGAAACTCAAGTTTTATCAATTTGGAAGGAAACATGTGCCTTCCTCTATCTATTTTCTCTATAAATTCATCTTGATTGTGGCAAAATTGACCACTATGGTCATTGGTGTTGTTGTTCGAGCATTCCTTTTTTTTTTAACAAATTGATAACACTTTTCGACAATGCCTAACTCCATCCAACTCATGCTATCTTGAAGCCCTCTTAGCCCTACTTCAAGATTTTCAATTCGCTCCTTGTTGGTTGCCATTGCGAAATCAGCTCTAATACTAATGGCAAGTCCCAAATAAAGCTATAAACTTATAAAATAGTTTTTTATTTATGGTGAGGAATAAACTTGAAAGATGTGTTTTGAGTTATCTCCCTTACTGCTAATTGCTAGGATATATGTATATAAAAAAAAATAACAAACTTCTTCTAAAAAACTAGCACTACTTTCGTGTTTTCAATTGTGCGTGTTTAGCTGCACGATCTGGCAACAATTTAGCCC